AGTAAAAAAATTAATAAAATAAAATAAAAATGTCACAAAATGCATACATTTACATTGTTAGTTTAATAATTTGCTAATTTGCATTTTATAATCAAAAAATAAAAGTATCAAAAGGGACGATAAAACACTTCTCATATCTGCTGTCACTGATGACAAAGACCTAGACCTATTATTATTAATCATTTATTATTTTGATATTCTTTTTTGTTTATTATTATTGTTAAAATAATAAATATTACTATGTTAATATTTCACTTTTAATTTTTTAAAGAATAAATAATAATATTAATTATTATATGATTTAATACAAATATTTAGAAAAAAAAAAAAATATATAATATATAATATAAATATAAAAATATATAGTTTATTTTACACTGCAATGTAAAAGTATTTACGTCTTTCTTATGAATTTCTTCATTTTCAAACATTAAACCATCAAGCTTTTATTTTGGCCGGAAAACCGCAGGGTGACTGCTCTTTTGTTGACAACATAAGAATTTCTCATTTGCTTCAGCAAGTTTAAGAAGATGGCTGGCACATGTTGTGGTCTCAAATGCACACTATAAGGGATCTAAACTCAGAGCAGATGCACAGATACAGTTCATGTGAAGCAGCATTTACTGTGAACCGAGAGACTAAAAACGGCAGATCATGAGCTGCCAAGCTTCGAAATTATGCTATAGCTTAGTGCTGCGATTTATTCTGAAAAACTGTGTAGCCCTACAAATGATATGTGTCCAATTCTACAGTATTTTAGTGTAAATGCACCTGAGAAGCTAGCTAAATTAGCCAGATGCTAACATGGGCAAGTTATGCGACATGATCTCATCTTCAAAAACCATGAATTATACGGAGTCAGGAACCATTGAGAGTGAGATGAGCTTTTTGAGATTGTTTCACCAGAATGACTCAATGTATTCAGGCTAATATGCTAACTGCTAAACTACAGCTATAGGAAAGCTTCTACATTGCGTTTATATGCATGTTTACTGTTCATTTTGATTGACCTAGTAAGTTAAACATCTGTAATGCATGAATACACAGCCCTTATCTGCTCTAGTTCTAGGCTACCGTGGGTAGATTTTGCTTGGAGAGAGAATAAATAAGCCCTCAGGTTCACACGCTTCTAGCATCCTAGCATGTGTGTTTGAGTATAGCCTCTTTTGCACGCTTTGCTGGGTCTCAGCGGAGACTGACCCACTTTGTGCAGATCTAATCCTGGCACATGCAGCCTCTGTGAGAATTACTGTCCCATCTTCACATGATGCTCTAGCAGAAAATATCATACAAATATGATATTAATAATGTCAGAGCAGAGGAGCGGAAGGGCACATATGGCAGCTCCACACATCTGTGCTCTAGAAATCCCTAGTGAACTGGAACGAGAGAGAGACAGCAAGAGAGACAGACAGGTTTAGTGTCAGCCCTGTAAGTCTTCATCCTCCTGTCTGTGTCACAATGTTTAGCTCAAGTGTCCTCTAAAGTCTGTCTCTCTTTCTGGCTCTCCACCACTCCTTCTCTGTATCAGTCAACATGAGTCTCCAGCTTCACTGTTCTTCATGAGCGTTGCGTTTTTAAGACAGTGTGTCAAGCTAAAAATAGTTCGCAGAATATATCCCTAGATCCCTACGTTCTGTTTTATTCTGTTGCACTCCAACTATTTTTGAACAAGAACTTGAGTTGTATGAATGCGCCCTAAGAAACACACCGGATCAGGGTCAGGGGAACCCCAAAATTGGCCTAATTATTCCAAGTTTCACTAAGACCAAACTAAGTCAACTAGTTATTCGGGCAACTTAACTAGTCACTTTTGAAAATATTATGAATCTCTATTTTAAATCTATAAAACATTAGATCTTTAGAATCTTAAATCTATGAATCTTTTAAACTATAAATCTCTAGAATCTATGACTCTTTGAATCAATTTTAAATCTTTAGAATCTGTGAATATAATTATAAAAATGTGAATCTATGAATTTATCAGTTAAACTATGAATTTTTGAAACCTGTGAATCTTTCAAACTATGAATCTTTAGAATCTACTCTAAATCTATGAAGCTTTAGAATCTCTAGATGCGAATCTTCAGATCTTTAGAATCTATGATTTTTATATTTTAATCCATGAATCTATTAATCAATCTACTGTATGAATCCTTTCAGTCCTTGTAATTTTAAAACCTGAATCTTTGAAACTATGAATCTTTAGAATCTCTGAATCCATGTTAAACCTATGAAGCATGATGAATCAATGGAATCACTGAGAATTTTTAGAATCTTTAAAACTATGAATCCTTCAATCTTTGGAATCTTAAACCGTACACTTTTTAATAATCTTTAGAATTTATGAATCTTTGAATCGGTTTTGAAACAATGAATCTTCAGAATTATTAAAATCATTAGAATCTGTGAATCTATAAATATTTAATTCTTTGAAACGGAATTTTGTAATCATCAAATTGTTTAGAATCTTGGAATTCTAAAGATTGTTTGGAATATTTGGAATCTTGGAATGTTTGGAATCTTGGAACCACTGGAATCTTCAGAACCTTAGAGTCTTTAGAATCGTTTGAATCTTAGAATCTCAGAGCAGTGAAATGGAACAGTACATACTGTAGTTTAGAGTCTGTGCTTAGCTCACATCTGTGCTCTAGAAAGCTCTACTGAACTGGAACAAGACAATAACAAGAAAGAGAAAGAGAGACAGAACAATTTGTTGTCAGTCCTGTTACTCTTCATCCTCCTGTCTGAGTCAATGTTAAGCTCAAGTGTCCTCTAAAGTCCGTCTCTCTGCTTGCCCCAGTCTCTCTCTCTCGCTCTAAATCTGCTTTCTTCTCATTTCTCCCCCTCTCTATTACTGTACATTGAGTCTCCGGAGCTTAATAAGGTGACTGGGTCTGAACAATGGAATGGATGATGGAGAGAAGGAACGTGAGTTCACAGCTAGCCACATTCATCCTCCAAACAATTTTCAAAGACACAACATTTCAGCACATACTGTACAAGAAAGTCCCAGACCAAAGCACTGCCTGGCACAACAGAAAAATGTACAGCAGGCAACAAAAACATTCTATACATCACTGTGGTCTGATAATATGGGTTTTAATGGTCTTAATGTCAATGGTGTTTGGAATCCATTTCACTACCCTTAATTTTCTGGATATTCAATGAGAATTTGCTGCAGGGACTCTGAATGCTCTCAACTGAGTCATGTTTAGGCCTGACCTGACACAAATCTCCTAGCTTGACCCCTGCTAGAGCACAGATGTGCGGTTCATTCAGTAGAAGATTTCCGCTCGGCAAACGGCAGCACAGGGGGAGAGGAGAGAGGAGGATCAACTGGCGTCCCGGTGTTCTTGTGACACACACACAGAGTTTGATGTGCAGACCTCCGCGCCTCTGCGATTTAATCCCTTGGCAGATTAGTTTGACTGCGCTGCATGTAAATTACGTGTCCGAAAGGACAGAATTTAGCCCTCTACTGAAGACTGCTTGACTGAATAAAAGGACACACTTGGAAACATATATATAGAAAATACATTTTTAATCTTTGGAATCTTAAAATCTATAAATCTTTGAAATTATGAATTTTTAGAATCTATGAATCTCTTTTAAATCAATGAATCTTTAGGATTTAAAAAAAAAATTATTAGAATCTTAAATCTATTGTCACGGTCAAAGTTTTGTTATTTTTATTTGTGGGTATTGTGTATATATTGATTTGGGTCATCTTTTTCTCCCGAGGTTGAGCTCCGCCCCTACACACCTGCAGCTTGTTGAATAAGGACGCTCTGGACTGAATATAAGGCGGAAGTTGCGCTTGTGTTGTGGCTCTCCCTGTTCCAGCGCGTGTCCGCCACAGTCACTACCACGCTCTTTGAGCATGACTCGCACTTGTTGAGAAGCTTCTGCCGTTCAGCTACCGACGATGGAGAGCGCATCCAGTGAGCTTAGTGCGCGTCTTGTTGTCCAGCCAGCCGCTGATAAGCGGTGTTCTCTCTGTGTTCATTTTTGTGCTTTCTTTAATGTTTCCTTTGACTTGTGTTTTGTTTGTTTACTGGATACATATTGATTTATTTTGCTTTAGTTTAGTTGATTTAACTCTTTATTATATCTGCTGTTGGTTAATTAATGTGACTCGTAAGCTGTTTGGCCATTAATAAATGGTTTAATTGATCTCCTGTCTTGCGCGTACTTTTTATGTTACTTAACCCCTTCCTGATCGAGTCTTTTAGAAGTGGGGTTCGTAACACCATCAATCTTTCAACGTTTGAAATCTTAAAATCTTTGAAACTCTTTTGAATCTATGAATCTTTAAAATCATTAGAATCTTAAAGGGATAGTTCACCCAAAAATGAAAATTACCCCATGGTTTACTCACCCTCAAGCCATCTACATGTAGTTGTATATGACTTTCTTTTTTCTGACGAATACAATCGGAGTTATATTAAAAATGTCCTGGCTCTTCCAAGCTTTACGATGGCAGTGAATGGTGGTCAAGATTTTGAAACCCAAAAAAGTGCAAACATCCATCATAAAAAGTGCTCCACGGGGTTAATAAAGGCCTTCTGAAGCGAAGCAATGCGTTTGTGTAAGAAAAATATCCATATTTAAAACTTTATAGACCGTAATCTCTTGCTTCCACTAACTGTCATACACGTGTTCATGAGAGATCTTGTAATCTCGTAATTTTCATTACTGGGTGAACTATCCCTTTAATTATATGAACCCTTGAGACTATGAATCTTTCATTCTTTGAAATCTTAAAATCTATGAATCTTTGAAACTATGAATCTTCAGAATCTATGAATCTTTCAATCTTGTGGGAGATTCTGAATGGGAATTTGGCTCAAATGTGATTATCAGGGATTTTAAATGCATTCTGATTGACTGGCTGAATGAAACAACGCACATTCGGAAACAGACAGAAGAAGAAAAAACTGTGATAGAAGAATCTGTAGGAGGTGCAATGTCCAAAAAAAGACAGTTTTGTCACTTACCCACTGCTGGAGCGTCATATTCTTCGCCTAGCAGTATTTCTGGGGCGGAGTATGCTAGTGAACCACAGCTGGTCATCAACATGGTCCCGGGCTGAAAGTGGTTACTGAAGCCGAAATCGGTCAGCTTCACTGTCCCCTGCTGCCTGAAGAACACCACATTCTCCGGCTTCAGATCTCTGTGGACAACGTGCAGACGATGGCAGTAGGCTATCGCTCGAACGATCTGCGCAAAGTGCACTTTCGCCATGTCTTCGGCCACCCCGCCTTCATGACGCAAGATGTAATCGTACATGTCACCTCCATCGCCCAACTCTAGAATGAGGTACAGCTTGGTCTGTGTATCGATAACCTCATACAGTCGCACTACGTTGGGGTGCTGGACGAGTTTCATGCAGCGGACTTCTTGAAGCAAGTGGCCGGTTGCTAAGTCATCAAGTTTTGTCTTGTCAATGACTTTGACTGCTACTAACTGGCCTGTGAACACATGACGGGCTAGTTTGACCACAGCAAAATGGCCTTTGCCCAGTGTGCGGTCTAGGTCATATAGGCCGGCTATCTTGCCCTCATAACCGCTTTTGGTGGCAGCCATTTTGGATCAAGCAGTGGAGGTTCAGTTGAAGGACTGGGCTCTCTTACCAGAGGGAGCTAAAGGAAACTGGAGCTCTACTGACACATCACCTGTGGAAAAACAAAAAAAAGATAAAGACGGTGAAAAAACAACATACTGTATATAAACAGCAGACCCTAAAAATATTAGATATAATGACATTTTACCTCATGTACTGGGAAATTTATTTAAGTAATGATGCTTGCTAAGACAAGAATACTCTAACAACCACCCAAGCAACTGCACAGGAATGTGCTGCTAACAACCATAAAACAGCACTCTCACTTGTGTGGTTCGGCTTAATAGAACAGTAAAAGGTTTCCGTATGGCATCAGGCTGAAAACCCTTTTAGGAATCTTTAAGTAGAGGGGATGTAGTGCTCTTTGTGTTGAAACAAACAGAGCTACATATAGAGGCAAACTGCACTTGACTTTCACATATGCAGCATTATTGAAGAGAGGAAGGCAAGTGTGTGAGCACAATGTAAGCTGTCTAACAGGTTTATATACTGATCTTATGTGTTTGCTCTAGAAAAGACGAGTACTGTTGGTATTTGCCTGAAAGATTGCCAGACACTGATCTTAAACACTGACACTGATCTCCCCAGTGATCCCCCCCCCCCCATTGTCTCAGAATCAAATGACTATTATGGCCACACAGCGCTTACTTCGTAGTACAATAGTTACTTAGCAACAGTAGATACTATTACTAAGAACTCCAAACAAATCCACCCTGTTACTTAACAGAGAACTCCTCTATTATCAGACTTATAGGGAGGGACAATAACTGCATGTCCAAGCACGAATATGGCTGTCTACTACAAATTCAACCTGGAGGTGATGTCATAATGCATGCTAAGACAAAACCCATTCAATGCTGAAATTGCATGACATTAATTTTGACGTCACCTATCGCATTAGACAAATCTTTTGTAATTTCATTGTATCATGCAATTGCCAAACATTTGTGATGAAGAAAAAATGTATTTAAACAGTTGATATACATGCAAATTTAAGAATTTAAGGGACTTTAAACATCATAAGTTAAAATCTAAGCAAACAAAACAAAACAAAACAACCCACTAAAAGAACACACAAAACAGCACAAAATAAAATAATCTCTCAGAGAGATAATTGAGGGAACACTAAAAAAAAAAACCTTAAAAAGATAAATATGCTCTGATGGATTGGACACAAAGAGAAGAGTGGAAAAAGAGGGGAGTGAGAGGAGTGCATTTTGGGACCTAGCGTCAGAGGAGTCGGGTGACAGACGCATAGCACAAATGGTGTAGATCAATACCTGTAATACGATATCATTATTAGGGGGTGTGAGCGATGTGTGTGTGTGGTTTGATGAAAGGATCTGAATAGTTAATGACCAATAATAGAGGTTGAACAGGGCGCTGCTGCTATGATGCCCATGTTATTGTTAACTAAAACTAAAACGAATACGAAAAATTTTCATATATATAAATATAAGGTGAAATTTTGACTTGGCAACCAACTGAAAATAAGTAAAATAAAAAATAATAAGCACTAAACTGATTAAAACTAAACAAAATTGTAGAATTACAACATTTTTAAAACTAAAATTCTAATTATTAATAAATATTATAATAGTGCATAAATAATACTGTAATAACAATGATGCATGCTCACACTCAAGCACACACATGAAAATGAAGTATACTCAGAGCTTTTCTTGTCTGTTGAAATCAATGCTGCTAATAATAACCTGCCCTGATGGACTGAGGGTTTGTGGTCGATCGGTACACAACTACACACAAAAATGTTAATATTCACAAATATCTCACATATGCAAATATTTATGCCCCACATACACATTCTGTTAAAAAAACCTGCATGTGATGATATGTTGTGTTTTTAAAGCAACAGCTCACCGAAAAAAGAAAACCTTCATTGTATGGAAAAGAGCAGCGTGAACATTCTTCATAACATTTTCTTTTGCATTCCCCGAAAGAAAGAAAAGGAGGTTTGTAATTCCATGAGGGTGATTTAAATGACTGAATTTTCATTTTTGGGTGAATGATTCACGTGTTAGTTTGTGTCTAATTCAGAGCTTCCTGCTTTTGACACACTGGTGAGCAAAACTTTGATGTTTCGTTGCCTTTTGTGAGATGTATTTATTTAATGGTTGAGACCGAAAGAAAAACAGAGCCAGATGACAAATGAAAGAGCAAAAACAGAGTACAAGGATGTAACAAAGACCGGTTGGCCTCCATATTGAGGAAGGATAGGGCTGTCCACCCTTTCCATGTTCAGCTCTATCATTTACAAAGCATGGCAGTATTTCCTAAGGGGAGCAGGGAGCACACATGGTGCTTCCTTCTGATAGTGTTCAGGCAGACACCCAGCATCCGTAGTTTAGGACGACTCTCACAGTTACACAAGACGCATACATGCTAACATACGCAGACATGGCATTTCCTCGCCTTCCTGCGAGCGAGATGGGAATCCAGCAGGCTCAGCGTTTCTGCTAGAAAATGTCCGCTGCCTGAGACGCTGGGTGCGGGTGACGTCTTTTGTCATCAAAGGCAAGAAAACAGACCCCGACTCATTTGTACGCCGATACGAAACACACAAACCCGTACGCGGGGCTGTCAGGAGGCTCGCGGTCTGACAGGAGGCACTAGGGGAGAGGTGTGAAAGGATGAGTCATCCCGCTCTCGCTTTTGGAGGAGGGAGGGCTGATGGACGAGCAGAGTGAAGAGATGTGAAAGAGATGCCGAGTTGGGGAGAATATAATGGGGTTTCCTTTAGATATGATCTCATCTCCCCATGTTCCCATCATGCAACATTCATTGTTATGAAGTCAGCGTGGCGCAGTGGGAGCTTGCGTGCCTGCTGTTCAAAGTGCATTAACGTGTACACTTGCACAAACGGTAAAACATTTAAACCTCTGGACTTCAGGAAAATTCATATACTAGCACCAACATGCGCATATTTAGAGAGTGGGTCTGAAATCTGCGTACGAACATTTTCACGAACAACCATGATTCACGAATAGTTTTCGTTTAATCATTTTTGTCTAATTGTAAACATTTATTGTAAATTAAGAAAAACTTTACAGCACACGTATGCCAAAAAAACATACCCTTAGATTTAAGATGAAATTTTATATTTAGATAGATCTTTACAAAGCGTCATATGTTTACTGATAGTCACTAGTAGAAGCAGTAAATGAAAGGTTCTTCAAAAAGCCTTTGGAAATGGTTTGGGCGTGTTTTATGCAAATGACTAATCTCCGACACGCGGTCGCTCATTTAGAATAACAAAATCAAGAACAAATTCATGTGCATACGCAGGTGTTGTAAATTGGGCCGAAATTTTTTGTGAGAAGTTCTCCTGCGAGTACAAATACGAAATAATCCACACAATTATTAGCGAATGAGATCCAGTGTTCCAAAACCTAGTAAGCCACCTAATGAGGGAGAATTTTAAGGGAATTCATGTGCATACGCAGGTGTTGTAAATTGGGCCGAAATTTTTTGTGAGAAGTTCTCCTGCGAGTACAAATACGAAATAATCCACACAATTATTAGCGAATGAGATCCAGTGTTCCAAAACCTAGTAAGCCACCTAATGAGATATTCACATTCCTGACAGTTCTAAAAAGGTAGGTATCTGCCTCCTAAAGGTGTGTTCACGCCATGTCGCAATTATGATATTCCAAAATGTAAAAAGCGTTCACGTCCTCGTAGAACTTGCACCTAATTACACCTAATAAACTGGGAATTCTCTGATAGCTACGACTTGTATCACCTGACGGCCACAGATTCAACCTATTTAGGCGTTGATAGTGTTACGCATAATTCCGAGTCTGAGGGCGTGAACAGCACCGAGTAGAACGTCACATGTTGTCTTCTCGAAATTACGGTAATTAATTACAACATGGCATGAATGCAGCATAAGTTACCAAATTTAGTCCAAATTCAAAGGGAGTGTCGAATCTGGGAAAGCAATCCCAGAGTGCATTGCAATTAGCTTGAAGATTGAGTACAACATGAGAAATTTTAATTTTAAATATACTCAAGGGCCATTCACACAAAACATATTTTTTGTATTCCACTGGTCTACTTTTCCATGAAAACATGACTGGACGGACACATTTGACAATTGAGCTTACATTTAGCACATGAGACTGCTTTCTATGAATTAGCCCTAGTCACTAAAGTTAAAAGTTAATCTTAAAAAAAGTCTCTAAGTTTTTTTTTTCACATTTATTATTTTATTTGTTATATAATTATGATGAAAATTATTTATAAAAAATAATTTTCTTACCTAATATTTGTGGACAGTGCTTAGAATATCACATTTTGCTTTGCTAATGGCGAACTCTACTGAAAAAAATTGCAACTGGTCTACTTTTCCATGAAAACATGACTGGACGGACACATTTGACAATTGAGCTTACATTTAGCACATGAGACTGCTTTCTATGAATTAGCCCTAGTCACTAAAGTTAAAAGTTAATCTTAAAAAAAGTCTCTAAGTTTTTTTTTTCACATTTATTATTTTATTTGTTATATAATTATGATAAATTATTTATAAAAAATAATTTTCTTACCTAATATTTGTGGACAGTGCTTAGAATATCGCATTTAGCTTTGCTAATGGCGAACTCTACTGAAAAAAATTGCACGTCAAGTCTATAGTGCGCTATTTGTTGCTGATGTAGAATGTTACAAATTCGTCACTTATGAGGTTACATGGCTAACAGGATGCTAGAAGGTAGCCGTCTATATAGGCAGTAGACATTGAGGTTGCTTCATTTTAGTACAAAGCCCATGTGGTGACTTTATTATATGCTCTTTTTATTACTTGTCTTTCCCTTTCCACTTCCAAAGTTTTAAATTTTAAAACTAAACCCTTAAACTTAACCCACATAAGTTAACATGCAGTTTGTCTGTAAACACAAATCTGCTGTGTTGCGTGACAAAAATCACAGCCAATTGGAAGAAATTTGGTCTCTACAATGTAGATGAAACTTGATCTAGGTGACCTGCGCTCCCCTCTTGTCATGATTCCCTCAGGCATGCCTTGTGATAGAGCTGATGTGTCTTAGGACACTACTGTGACACACATACGCACACGTCTTCTCCTTTTTAATCTGAGGCACAAAAGAATCCCTATGAAACCCACAAACTTGGTAGTTTGCCAGCACGCGCACACACCATATTCTTGCACATATGCTCACACACATGCATGTGCACACAAACAAACACACTGCTGAGTTTAGGATTTTGGCTGCATGCTATATATACACACACTCAAGTATTTGATGCATGGAAGACCATAGATAACAGTCTAATGGCTTTACCCAGCATCCTTTGGATCGCATTACTAAGAATTTCACCTAGTATTCCATTTAAATTCCACAAAACCTCTCAGTTCAACAATAACAACTTGGCTCCTCAATGCATCTTTCTTATTTATCAGTTTTCATTGTCACAGGATTCCCACACTTATGGAACAATTTCTAGCTCATCAAATTTGAATAAAAATATAATATAGCACACACACAAATTTCAATATTTCAAGAGCTAGTATATAAAATATATATATATATATATATACACTAGCTCATGAAATACTTCTGAAATAATGAAAATGCTAATGAAAGAAATGTGTGTGTGCATCATGAATGTATTTTTTTAAATCATATTTAGATATTTCATAAACTAGAAATATATTATGCATTATAGCTAATATTTAATAAAAATATAATAAATGCAATTTTAATTATACATTTAAATACTTCATGAGCTAGAAATATATAGAACTATATGTATTTTAGCACATAAAATATATCAAATATATAATGCATATTTTACATACATATTAAAATTATTAAATATATATAATGAACTGTAAATCTACAATTAATATTTCATGAGCTATGAAATGCTCTTTGTGAGTGAAAAGTTAAAGAAATTTACTAATGACCTTAAAGGGGTCATATGATGCTATTTTAAAGATCATTATTTTGTGTATTTGGTGTAACAGAATATGTTGACATGCTTTAATGTTCAAAAAACACATTATTTTTCAAATACTGTACATTATTGTAGGTCCTCTTTGCCCCGCCTCTCTCAAACACGTCGTTTTCAACAAAGCCCCCTCCTTCCGACAAGCGCAGTCTGCTCTGATTGGCCAACTGACCCAGTGCATTGTGATTGGCCAATCAGAGCAGACTGCTCTGATTGGCCAGCTGACCCAATGCATTGTGATTGGCCGAACACCGCAAACACTCGTCGGAAATGTAACGCCCCTTACCATAATCGCGAGCTTCATCTTTCAAAATAAATGTAAAGACAGAGCCCGAAAGGGGAACAGAGTCGCGGGACAGACACAGTGATGAAGCTGGTATGTGTTTGCAGTACACAAGCCACGGTTAAGACAGCTGACTCCACTGTGATGCGACCCTGTCTCTCTCTCTCTCTCTCACACACACACACAATTTTTTTTGCCATTGCCCTTTGCAGTTAGGACTTCTCCTCCAGGTGAAGGAACTTCTGTGTAACTACCACAAATTCCTGTGGATAGTAGTTTACAGTATTTAGCTGGTCACTACATGAAATGCAAACTCTCATACATCAGAAAGAACTTTTAATAGAATCAAGTGGTTATTACAATTACAATTAGCCTTTGCATTTTGGGTTTAATCACATGGCGATTGACAGGCTTCACAAACCGGCCTCCCAAAGATGAGTCCCAGAGAATGAAGATTTATTTAAAAAGGAAGGCATTGGGTGTGAAGCGCACATGCGTCCAGTTTGGCTGATCTACTGGCACAGTATGAACTGTGAAAATCTGGAAACAAACTTACCACTGTTTTCTTGGCATCGTCAAGCTTTGTGAACGAAAAACCACAACTGCTATGACAGACATAAAGAGAGACTGGGAGAGAAAGTGAAAGGTAACAAGAAAAGAGGAAGAGAGAAAGGAAAGTAGGAACAGTGAAAGACTTGGAGAGTGGAATGAGAAAGAAAAAAGGAGATATCTCTTGTGCACCAAGAGCTTGTAACACACCAAAGAGAAAGGAAAACTTGAAATCGCATCATATGACCCCTTTAAATTTCACTAAAATATCCATGACCGCAGTTACACTATTTTCTATTTTTATGTGTTTTATTGGCATGGCAAATCTTTGTACATTCGTATTACCAAAGCATTTGCAGTTTAGCTGCATGCAATCAACTTGTAAAACAAAAACAGACATACTAAAATAATAATATAAAAAACAACAACAATCCAACCCTTTCTGTTTCTCTATTCTTGTCTCTGTCTCTTTGTCTTGTTTTCTTTCTCTTACCTGCTGTGTGCCTACTGTCAGATGCCCCTGGATGTCTCAGAGTCTACATAGAGCTGAGGATAGGGTGACTTCCATAATGAGTGTGTGTGAAGGAGAGAGAGAACCGAAATGCAGGTCAGCACAATGCAATGCCTCTGACCCAATGTTTGTCTGCCAGCCACATCTTCTAACTCACCTTTATCATTCAATCTCTCTAATAGCAAAAATAACCTGCCAACTATATGAAATGACACATTTCAAACAATAACTACATACATAAAATAATTAAAATATCCATTATTAACCATAACACAAACAATAACATAAAACTATTACACTCTGGCACGCTTTCAATAATCCCAAATGAAACTCAGTGGAATAAAACCCTGCATCTTACATCCTACATATAAATCACTAAAGACGACTTCAGTATTCAATTCAACAAATAGGCTAGTTAAATACATCATACGAATTTGTATTCTATAATAACTTACCATATAAAGTGGTACGCAGCGCGTCAGGCGTCTATATGTAAACGAGTATCCGTTGGAAATGTTCTCAGCTTCCGTCGCGTATTTTTCTGGAGGCTACACAAAAAAATCGCTCCCTAACGTCTTCAATCGTCCGCTCACTGTTGTTTTTATCAATAAATGATGCCCGCTGTCCGACCAGGACGAGGCATGTAGTGGTGCGCGCGTCGCTCCGCAGTGCTCTTGCGCTCGAGCGCTCTCCTCCTCTGACGTCAATGAGTGAGGGAGGGAGAGAGAGTTGAGGCTGGGCCACATGAAATGTTTCTGAAGTCTCAAGAACACTATTATGCAACTGGCTATAATTAGGTGAAGGGAGAGAATGGAACAACAGCACTCGGACTGACATTCCGCCCATTTATGTGCGGTCTGGATCACTTTAATGTAAGAATGTATATGCAAATAAGCTGACTCACTTTTGCAGTCTGAACATTCTTAGAATGCCAGCAATGAACATGCAGGATGCAGGCAAATTGCGAGAGCAACTGAAGAATGAAATAGTTTTTGTTAAGCTTACAGTAAAATATGGCTGTTGCAAGTTTGTCAAACTATAAAATGTTAAAAAATGCTTTTGGGCGTCCCGAGTTCGAATCCAACTCAAGGACCTTTCCTAATCCCGCACACTACTACCTCTCTCCCACTCCACTTCCTTTCAGTTCGGATCTGTCTTATCCTAATAAAGGCAAAAATGACAAAAAATAAGTGTTCTTTCTAATCATCAGTGATTCTATCACTAACATTTATTACTGTTTCCACAAAAATGTTATGCAGCACAACCATTTTCAGCACTGGTAATAATAATAAATGTTTATGAGCACTAAATCAGCATATTATAGAATGATTTCTGAAAGATCATGTGACACTGAAGACTGGAGTAATCAAAACGTATTAAATTAGAAAACTGTAAATTGTAATAATATTTCACTGTTTTTACTTTGTTTTTGAACAAATAAATACAGCCTTGATGAGCATACAAAATCATTAAAAAAAACACACACACTTATGAATGTAGGCTAGTGTATCTAAACAAAATCTAAACAAATGTGATGATTTGTGGAATTCTGTCAGTTCCCATTTCTACATATCTTCATATTTTTCACTTAAAACAGCAAAATATTACATTATAATTAAATTCTCTATAAATAAGGCATTTCATAGTTTTTACTTATACTTTACTTTGAATATATATATATATTTTCTGTATTTGGTGGTAACTTACAGTTAACCAATTAACTGGCACTTTTACCATCTTATTCGCTAAAATTAGTAGCATTTTACAGTGCAGATTTATGGAGCTTCACAGAAAACTCATCAAGTCACTGTGTTTGCCCTGTGCACTTCTCAGAAGTGAATGCCAACTCTGTGATACAACAAAGTTTAAAGCTTCAATGACAGCAGCTGAATGGGTTTTTACGAGGTCAGAGTAGTATATTAAAAGATTTTAAAGGGGACATAAGAGGTTCATTTGGGAATTACTACTATTATTTTTACATCACTGCAGTGTCTGGGACTCCAGACGTAGAAGCAGTCTCAACAGGCAATGAAGGTTAATAGTGGCAAATATACAAGCCAGAACAGAAGACATTCTTAAGATTCCAGAAGACTGAGACAATTGATCAAGATTCCATTCACTCACTTCCTTAAAGCTGACTGACTGACATCCTCAAAACACTGGAGTCAAGGAGACTGTGCTGTCATCAAAACACCACTAAAGGTCTGTCTGAGTCATTTAAACAATCAGAAAATTGCATACAATGAATAACACAAGCCCTTCCGTTAACTCAGTTTTATAAGCTAAAATCACTTGCATTGTTCATCTCTACATATGTACTACGTCAAGAACAAGCGTTGGTAAAACCACATCCATGGGGGTTTTATTAGAAACAGGTTTGACAATGATCAAGTTGGAAGTTCTTTGCAATGAGTGTACGCTTTCATCTGTGTCAGTCAACACGGGCACGATGTAACTATTAGGGGGAGAGAAAGACAGACTCTCCCCATGGGGAACAAATGACGTTCGTACATGGCGGAGAACACACAGGTTACTATGGGAACCAATGGCGTAACTCGATCTACGCAGGTTGCAAAACCCACCGGATCTTCATCTAGACTTGCATATGAGGGTTCATTAATATGTAAATTCAAAAGTACACTGACAAATTAATAAAGGTCAACTGAACTGATTTAGCTCAACCTTACAGTACCTGGGGGCATTTCTAGTTTGAAATATATGGATACTCTTGCACAATTTCATCATGTGGGTACTGTGGATTTATATTACCTGTCAAAATGCTAGTTCGAACAATGGCAACATCCCATGTGGCCTATTTTTGTTCATTTTATTGCATAAGCGAAGAAAAAAATCTTCAAGTTCAAAATTGAGTCTAATTTCAAAACGAATTATAGTCTTAAGTCTTGGGACGTGTTTTTAATTTGGATTCGTTTATGAAATGGTGCATCAGAGTAGGCCTATTAGTTTTATATTGGAAGACAAAAGCAGAAGCAGTTATTGTTTTATACCATTTTATAATAAGTAGCCTAACAAAATAAAATAAACTGTGAGAACTTCTTAAGAAATATGTATCTATATTGCATTATTTCATTTTGGACATACTGGGTACATGATGCTGATGTCTACTGAATTGTCAAAACAGAGGACTGCCTGTGTGATGTAGTACTGCCACCTTGTGGCTTCTCTAATAACTTTTAAACGACATTGCAAAAATTAAATGGTTTTATATAGTACTGTCGCATGTACAGCACTTTATCATGTCTGAAAACGTAATAGAACATTCCTGAGACTAGAAAATAAACGTATTCGATTCGAATCTATGATAAAGTTTAGCTTATGAATACGAATTACGTTAGGCTAATATTCCCTGAAGCGCCAAGTCAAGCTAATTAATATTTATACATATTCGGCTTTTCAGCAAATCAGATCAACCTACCGTGCGAACGTCATGTTAAATAATTAATATTCATAAGCTAAGCGTTCGCCATAGTAGAATTCCGAATATAGGGGCGGGGCTTGAGGTTCAGACGAAGCGTGACGCCGTTAAACTGATCCGGAAGAAAATTTTATATAAACTTAACAACTGACGCTATGTATAAAGGCTTGGTTATTTCGTAACTTTTGTAAGGAGTAGAAAATGACCTTGTTCATGCAAGCCCTACGCTTCTCTTCTCCACGGCTGCCGTTTATTTGCGGGAGGTGCAGGACATATTCTGCTCAAGTAAGTCTGGGATCATTCCTGTTTATTGTTACATAATTCTTAGAAACAGAATAAAGACGTGGTCACCAAGGGCTACAGTCTGTTTACGCGGATAATAAAGTACAAGACATACAAATCGAAATATTTTCCCCTCAAAATTAAAACAATAAAAATTGTTTTTATTATTATTTAAAAAATATATATATATAAAAAATGAAAACTACATTAAAAAAAAAATATTATTAACTTACGTGTTGCCAGAGAGTCATGCAGGTAAACCTTCTGTATATTTCTCACATTGGTTATTCTAGGCTGGAGTCGTCGAGCGGGTCATTTCAGCGTTTCGCTCTGTTAGCGGAGATGAAGGGGTGTCTGTGGGCTCAGCTGTCCGAGAACAGCACGGCAGGGATGAGTCTGTGCACAGGTGAGATTTCACTGCCATACCTGAGTGTCACCTGCCTCTTAATCATATGCAAACAGTGCAGCAGTAGCTCCGCCCACAGTTACAAATAAACCGACTGCAGCGTCTGTGTCGATCATTAAAAGCAGTGAGTAAAATATTAAATCGACTATCTGGGCCCATTCAGCATTCAAGAGAAACTTAATTTTCACCACTTCTCTTTTCTCCCAGACACAAATAATCATCCACAGCAATGATATTCAGGCACAATCAATCAATCCTCAGTATTTCACAACCAGCCAATCAACTCAAAATACATTTTCCATTAAAATAAATAAATAAATTAGAATACAATACATTACATTTTTACATTACATTTAAATTTGATTTGCATGTTGTTATTTATATATTTGTGGTATTTTGTCATGCTGTGTCAGATGCCAACCACCAGATGTGGTGGTGTTTCCTCGGTCTGTAGAGGAGGTCAGTGCTCTTGCCAAAATTTGTCACCACCACCAACTACCCATGATCCCGTTTGGCACAGGGACAGGCCTTGAGGGAGGTGTTGGTGCTCTGAAGGTTTGTCCAGTTGAGAAGAATAGACACAAGAATTTGACAGTGCCAGTGTCAGATTTCAGGCCTAATCTTTATTAGAGGAAAAATAAGTAGTTTTGACCATATTTTTAGCTATTCTGAACAATTTTCTTAAGTAAACACCCTTGTTTTTGGCTATAGTTCTCAAACTTCCAATCATTATGCGCTCCACACTCCTATCCAGTAGGTGGCGGGAATGCACCATTTAAGTTGGTTTGCCAACCGCCATTAAATTTAAAAGAAGAAGAAGAAGAAATTGATTGGATGCGAGGTTATTATAGTTAACTAAATCTAAAACTGAAACCATTAAAAAAAAAAAATCAACATTTCTCTTTTTATTTAGTTTAACTTTAAGTGCTAAAATAACTAAAACTAATAAATAACAATTAATAAAAGTATATAGCCATATATTTTTTTAAAAAGTAATAAAAATTAGACAAACTCAACAAAATGACTAAAACTAACTAAAATAGAACATACAAACAAAATCTAATTCAAAATAAACAAAAACTGTATAGGATACTAAATATCTGATATTAAAATAACACTGATTGAATGTTCGAGTACATAGAATAATTCAAGCCTAATTAAATGTTTAATTTGGCCATATTTGCCATATATTATTGGAGATGATTAATGGTTAAGAAATGTATTTCCACAGATCCAGGTGCTGACGCATCGCTCTGTGGCATGGCTGCAACTAGTGCATCAGGCACCAACGCAGTCCGCTATGGCACGATGCGCGAGAACGTCCTGAACCTGGAGGTGGTTCTAGCAGATGGAACGGTCCTCCACACAGCAGGGAAGGGCCGTCGTCCAAGGTATGACTGCAAAATGACAATCAAAGCATATTTTAAACTAAATCTTTTGTTGTCTACATTTGATTTTTCCCCTTTTGATGCAACACCCTTTCAGAAAGACATCTGCTGGTTACAACCTAACAAACCTTTTTGTGGGTTCGGAGGGAACTTTGGGTATTATTACCAAAGCCACGCTTCGGTTGTTTGGTATTCCTGAAAGTATGGTGTCGGCTGTCTGCTCCTTTCCATCCGTCCAATCAGCAGTGGACAGCACCGTTCAGATCCTGCAAGCTGGAGTGCCCATTGCCCGTATCGGTGAGCATTATTTGAAGCACATGGTCACAATGTGCTTAGTTTACTGCTTCGATTGGCATTAACGTAACAAAAGAACACTTGGTCTCCTGTGTTGTGAACTTGTAAAGTCACAGACTGTGGCATTCGAAACTACATGCATGCCTACCTGTGCGATTTAGTGCAGAACTCTATTCATTTCATTCTAATCTATTCACTGAAGCCTCCTGCAATAACATAAACATTAATTCAGAAGGAAACACCGTCCTTTATTCATAGTCAACACCGAACGCACTCAAGGGTTTAATGAATTGCTTGGTTCTCAGAACCACAATGTGTTTCTTCTTTTGCAGTCCACTCAGGGAAAAATATTCCACCAGTAGCTCCATCCAATTTAAGAGTAATCAGGCATGACCGCTCTCTTAGATTTTTAAATCGAGGCTGCAGTGAGGCATCGATTTTTAAGCCTCGGCTTTCTACACACAAAGGCTTCACAAGACTTAATCGTTGTTGATACGTTCCATTTGCAGAGTTCTTGGACGACGTGATGATAAACGCATGCAATCGCTTCAACAACCTGTCCTATGCGGTCACTCCCACCCTCTTTCTGGAGTTCCACGGGAGCTCCAAAAGCATGGAGGAGCAAGTGTCCATCACTGGTATATGTGGATAAAACATAGGCCCAAACAACAAATTTCTACAGAAACAGTATTTTACAAAAGCAAAACATTAGATGTGAAAGAATGTGTCATCTGGAAAGCTTCATGTTCTGTGTGTTCAGAGGAGATCACGCGGGATAACGGAGGCTCAGACTTCGCCTGGGCAGAAGATGAGGAGACTCGTGGCCGGTTATGGAAAGCCCGTCATGATGCGTGGTACGCAGCCCTGGCCTTGAGGCCTGGATGTAAGGTGGGAACATTCACTGCAACGTGATTCTGACTCAGACAAGTGCAATTTATCTTCTTGTAACTTAGAATATACACTTTGCAGACTTTTTATTATCTTGATGCAATTATAATTATGCTTTTGAGCTTAATTTTTGTGCTGTCGTGCATAGTGCAGTGTAAAAAGAATGACTGTTATCAAAGAGGTTTCCCAAACACTTCCATTGGTCAACCAAACAGATAGCCATTGGTTTAGCCACTGTTGCTGTGCTAGGCTGGTTGGAATGCTCAAACAAACAGTAATGTTTTGATAGCACCACAAAACACATTTTTATTAAGGAAAACTAGCCAACAAATTGCTTAATTATAGTTGTGAATGAATTTAAATTTGTAATAGGACAAGGTTTTTTTAACATTAAAAAATTACACACATTTTCCAGGCATATTTTACATATTTGAGTGGTCTCAATTACCTCATATTACAGTGAAGACTAAAGAAGATCTAATTAGCAAAAATGTACTAAAAGTTATATAATAATAACTATATTATAATTTACTAAAATAATATAATAATAATTATAATATAAATAATATTTTTATTTCTTATTCCAGTCAGTCTGTTCATACAGTATTTATTTGCTTAAAAATCATTCATGACTGTTTCAAACAGGTTTCCCAAACATTCTGCCATAGGTCAGCAAAACCAATAGCCCCGCCCCAAACTCACACCATTGGCTGAACCAGTTGCTATGCTGGGCTGGTCAGAATGCTCAAGCAAACAGACCAATGTTATGAAAGCACCACACAGCCAGTTATAAACTATTTACAGTAAACAGCCTACAAATAGCTTTTTATGAATATTAAGTTAGTAAAGTAGAACATATTCAGAACTCAACACTTTACAAAAATGTACGTATTTTCTTACAGGCATATTCTACAGATGTCTGTGTGCCAATCTCACGACTGCCTCAGATTATAGTGGAGACAAAGGAAGATCTAATCAGAAACAATATTACCGGTAGTTTACCAAGTTTGATTTTCTCATTAGTGTTGAGAACTGCTTTTAACTGCTGATAAAATATGTTTACATTTTTCCTACTGTAGGTCCTATTGCAGGTCATGTGGGCGATGGAAACTTCCATTGTTTAATAGTACTGGATCCCAATGACCCAGACGAGGTGCAAAGGGTTAACTCCTTCACTGAGAGACTAGCCAGGTACTTCTATTTAATTCCTTTCAGCAGTTTTGCTCCCTTACAATTATCTTCTGAGGCGGCTGAGAAGGACTGGCTGCAGCTTTTGTGTACATTGTCAGTTTTGTTTTGTGTAGCAATCAATACCAGGATTATTTCTCAAAGTGTCTTCTGCCATTTGGAGAGCGTTTGTTGACAATGACAGACATAGAGGGTTTAGTGTCTGGCTTTGGAAACAAGCACAAATAATAAAAGTCCTACCTGCCTACAGTCATTACGGGTAAAGTGCAGTCTCTGTCGGATACAATGGACGAGTGATCAGTGCTGACCAGCAGCCAAAGAGAAGACAAACGCTACAATCTCATTTGCTTCACCGAAACCTGGCTGACTTGATACTCAAGAGCTCTTCCTGATAGGAGCAAATGGAGTTGGACTTGCCCTTTTAGTGAATGACAGACATGATGTAACTGTAAAAGCTCAAGTTTGCAAAAACTATAGCTATATTAACTGCCAAAGGAGTGTTTGCAGACTGAAGTGAATACTCTGAAAGAAGAAATGTTATTGAGTTGAACTTGTGTGGAAACTTAAAGGGTTAGTTCACCCAAAAATGAAAATTCTGTCATTTATTACTCACCCTCGTGTCGTTTCAAACCCGTAAGACCTTCGTTCATCTTCGGAACACAAATTAAGATATTTTTGATGGAATCTGAGAGCTGTCTGACCCTGCATAGCCAGCAACGTCCTCCGCCACCCTGGTGCCATTTTGGAGAGTATCTGCTGGACGTAAACAGCATATGCTGTTCTGTGTCAGCTGCGTCACACGGGTACGCTGTTTTCGTTCAGATCAAATCACAACAACGTAGGAAACAGATCCGGCGTGACGCAGCTGACACAGAACAGCATATGCTGTTAAAAAAATCTTATCAAAAGATTAATCATGTTTGATTTCCTCTAAAAAAAAATCGGAGTCTGTGCCCATCATAAACAGCATTGAGGGTAACGCATTATAAGTAATGCTAGTTATGTAATCAGATTACTTATTTCAAGTAACTAGTAAACTAATACATTACTTTCAATTAAATATACTTTTTTAAATAAGCAACACAACTTACTGTTTTCTCATTTATTCACTGACATCTCTCCTGTCCCCGTGTTGGGAGAAACTGGAAGTGAGGTGCAGATGCTGAGGTACTTCCTTCAGCCTGAGAGACTTATTCATTTCACTTTTGGTGTGAAAGGGCCCTTACAGTTGCCAAAAATATAACTTTTGGCTTTTGTTATGCAAAAGTAATGCAAAAGTAATGTACAGTAATACGTTACTCTCCATAAAAAGTAACTAAGTAACACAATTAGTTACTTTTCAAGGAGTAACACAATATTGTAATGCATTAATCTTAAAAGTAACTTTCCCCAACACCGATCATAAACTATGCAGTTTCCTCTCAAATCTGTCAACTCCCAACTGCCCAATGTCTACAGACTGCAAATCTGGGCAAAAATGGCATGTTCCATCTTATCGCAACGCATATTCCAGTCTTAATAAAGCTCAATCAATAGCATTTGGTCCATGATTTTACTTCACAAAAATAATTCAGACTTGTCCTATTGCAGCAAAAATTGTGGTTTGAGTATACAAGGTGTACCTTGTCATGTCGAACAGTGAGAACCTGCATGAACAAGATGAGTAGGAGTTGGATTTCTGCTGCGCCAGGGAGTCTTCATCATTCAGTTGGAGAATGTGGAGGTGGAAACACCTGGGAATATGAATTGGACTGGACAGACAGCTCAGTTGCACAGATTCTACTTCCTGAGGAAACTTTGGTCTTTCAGTGGTTGCAGGCTGCTAAAATTGTTCTTCCAGTCTGCCAGCCACACTGAGGTCTTTTGGGGCAACAATGCCAGATCTAGTGATTCCAAGCTTCTTAATTGATCAAGATGGCCAGATGTCTTACTTGGTTTACCCTATTTATTGCCAGTAACAATTACAGTGGATGAATTCATTCTCTTGTTGTCTTTCCCCATGCAGGAGGGCACTGGCGATGGATGGAACTTGTACTGGTGAACACGGGATCGGTCTAGGAAAGCGGGCCCTGCTCAGAGAAGAGGTCGGTCCATTGGCCATAGAGGTCATGCAGGGCCTCAAGGCCACCCTGGACCCCAAAAACCTCATGAATCCTGGAAAGGTGTTATAATTAATGCAAACCAACACAGAACACTATAGAAGATACTCTGCACTAGGCTTTCTGACCACTAGATGTCAGGAGAATGAGGTTTGTTTTAGATTTTAAGAATGATAATAGTTTAGACTAGAGTGTTTATAAAATCTGCACATGCAAAACATAATTTTTGTGAAAGGTGCATATGATTTAAGCTCCTTGCGTGAATATTAAAGGGTAATTTATTTGTTATGTAGTATTATTGTGAATGCACAGTATTAATGTACAGGGCTGAATTTTCTCAGAGCCTTGAAAAAGAATTATTCTGTCCTTTTATTTTGCTTTTTTTCATGGCAATCTCACACCACTTTGAATTATGAATGAATGTGAAATCATTGTGGCTTAACAAATTTGTGTTTAGTTGGGCCATTTGCCCTTCTACATTTCTGTGAATATATTTATTTCTATGGATATATTTGCTTCTAAAAACAGAAGCTGTGAAGCTGAACTCAAAACAAGCTAAATGTGATGCAGAAAATACATTTTAATAAACTGAAAATAATGTCTCTTGTTCTTTCTTGAGTGATTGTTTTTTAATTTATTTGACCCTTTTTGTGTATTTGCAGTGGACTTAATAAAAGCAAGCAACATCTGATCTTATTTCATCTTGTTTTAATTATATGTATGATCATCATCATTATTACTCGTCCCACAGATTGCACATCAAAATCATCAGACACTTAGTTTGTACCTCCTAAAAACAGGCATCCGTTCATGTCCCTGGAAAAAAAGAAAAGAAAAACATACAAAACAAATGGGTTTCGAGAGTGGCGAGTCACTTTCCGCAGCCCATGCTGCACAAGATAGTACTACGCTACCTGACTCTGTTTTTATTATTTGATTTGTTTTACACGGTGAGGCGAAATTGTTATCCATTGTTTTGATGGATGGTGTTTGTATGCCCTCGTTTACAGGCACAAAGCAGAAAAAACTCAGAAATGCTCTATTTCTATCCAACACAATAAGTAATAGGTTGTCAAATATTTTCTTGCGGTTATTTTTTTCTACCTTTTTCATTTTACTCCTTTCTCTTTTTTTAAAATTTTTATTTGTTTTGACTTTTTTTATTTTTTACAATTTCAGCAACATTATTTTCTAACAGTGCTTGCTGTTTATACAGTAGACAGAGGCATCCTGAAGGTTAAATAGATTTCTTGTGAGGTTTCTCACAGATTTTTCAAAAATAAAAAGTAAATGCAGATCATAGAAATGATCTTGTAATAGATTCACACCAGTATATCTGGGCTTTACATACAGTAGTGAAGCAACATTAGCTTACCAGACGCAAGCTGGTCAGTCACATACAGAAAACATGGGAGGATGGACAGAAGCCGAAATCACACACTGAATACATACTCAAGGCTTTTACAGGGAAACTGTCCGAATATTATGGTCAGCGCTTCATAATAACTGCCCAAAAAAATTGCAGATGAAACTAGGAAAATAGCTTTGAGCTTCTTATCGTTTCAGAATCCGTAGGGGAAAGACATCTATCGTGAATTGTAAACATTTGAAGACTGACCGAGAGTGTATCTTTCTCTCCGTTTATGACCGTAAACCCCCATCCCAACACACATGCTGATGTCTTGGACTTCCTCTGGCACTAACAGGAAACACAATTTACACATTTCCCTGCCTGTGGACACATGATCACACACATGCACACACAGAATAAGTAAATCTACGTCCACCAGCTGTCCAACACATCACTAACGAGTGAACCGCGCACACAAAACTCCTCCCATGAACCAGGTGTGAAACCCCGCCCCCTGCCACACCCCTATAATCAGCATCGTTTGACAGGACAGGTATGGCCTCTGGATCAGTTTGCAAAGCGTGGTCTACTTCCTACTTATTTACCGCATATGCCCCGCCCCTTCTGTCATGCCGCACCTCGTGTTGCCCCGCCCCCTCTTTCCCATCTCCTTCCGTCTGATTACATACACAAGGAGAGAGGACCGTGTCAGAATGCAGACTGAACACACACGGCGATAAGAACACAGAGTATGTAGAGGGGGCAAGAAAGCGAGACGTTTTCCAAAACCAGAGATCCGGTGTTGGTGGTTTTGTATTGAAGGGGCCGGTTAGCAGTTTAGCAGTCTCTAGCACAGCGGGCAGGAGATTCTGGGATTCTGCAAGTGGTAATGATGGTGTTGGCTGGATGAACGCTTTTATGTGGTTCAGTTGACACATTTCCGTTTCTGTAGGTTTCGATCGAATTGGTTGGTAGATTGATTTATTTGGTTATTTTTGTGCCAGGTTTAGGTCCATAAAGTGCCCTACAGTGAGAGAAAAAGAGACAAAGATGGAATATGAGAGTCATACTGAGCCCGAAGGTGTTTTCACACTTGGTTTATATCAGGGGTCTCGGGAGGTAGTCTAAGCGTGGTTTGCTGTAAGTCAGCTGTGTGGGTGACGTATAAAGTGCATTTATACATAGAAACACAAGCATGTTTAAGGTTTAAGTTTGAAGCCTTTACCCGACCACCTTTCATACCATGTCAATGAAGACACTACAGAAAAAAATAACACACTAGTAGAGTGGTAGTCTAGATCTTTGTAAATGTGATTTTTTTTTCAGGTCTATAAAGTGCCCTGAAGTGAGCGGAAAAGAGACAACGAAGAAATATGAGTTATAAGAAGCCTGTGGGTGTTTTCACACTTGGTTTATGTCAAGGGTCTCGGAAGGTAGTCTGAGAATGTTTTGCTTTAAGTCAGTGGTGTGGGTGAAGTACAACGCACATTTAAACATAGAAACTCAAATTTAAAGCTTTAACCAGATTGCTTTTCAATACTGGACCAATCAATAAATTACAGAAAAAAAACCCTATGTAAAAATAAAAAATAATAACTATATAGTATTATATATTATATATGCAATATCCAACTTACTACTACTACTACTACTAATAAATAAATAACTTGATTACTTAAAAGGATACCCAAAAATGAAAATTCTGTTTACTCACCCTCATGTCGTTCCAAACCCATAAGACCTTCGTTCATCTTCAGAACACAAATTAAGATATTTAAGATGAAATCCGAGAGCTTTCTGACCCTGCATAGAAAGCAATGCAACTGACGTGTTTAAGGCCCAGAAAGGTAGCAAGGACATCGTTAAAATAGTCCATGTGACATCAGTGTTTCAATCGTAATTTTACGAAGCTATGAGAATACTTTTTGTGTGCAAAGAAAACAAAAAATAACTTTATTCAACAATTTTTGTTTTCTTTGCGCACAAAAAAAGCAAAATTACGGTTGACCCACTGATGTCACATGAACTGTTTTAATGACGTCCTTACTACCTTTCTGGGCCTTAAAAGTGTCAGTTGCGTTGCTGTCTATGCAGGGTCAGAAAACTCTCAGATTTCATCAAAAATATCTTAATTTGCGTTCTGAAGATGAACGAAGGTCTTACGGGTGTGAAACGTCATGAGACATTAATGACAATATTTTCATTTTTGGGTGAACTGTCCCTTTAAGTATTATTGTTAACAATAATAATAATAATAATAGGAGAGTTGTCTGAGTTCTAGATGTCTGTGAAAGTTGAATTTTTTTAAAGGACACAAGTGTAAAAACTCGCATTTGCATATTATTACTGTTAATTGTGATATTTTAACAATAATAACATTAATAATAATATGCTATTGAAGTGGCCTGAGTTCTAGACCTTCGGAGACATGGATTTTTTTAGAGGACTTAAGTGTGAAAAAAAGTTTTGTTTTGTTTTTTGCATATAATTAATAATAATAATAACAACAACAACAACAAAAGTTGTCTGAGTTCTAGAGCTTTGTGACCACAATTTTATTTATAAAGGAGGTACTTTCACATTTACTACATGTCTAAAAATGCCCCTGACAAGTGTAAAGGCGCGTTTACGATAAAACCTGTCAAAAAAAACCCTGTTTTGCTACTCTGGAAATGGCTTTTTATAGTCTATTTAAAAATGCTGCACTGAAGTAATGAGATGATGCTAATTACTGTTTGATAAAGTCAAAGTCAAACATTCCAATACAAAATGACTGACAAATATCAGATTATTGAGACACATGTTGGCATGTAGGTGAATATTTGTGTGAAGGTGTTCACCTTTCTCAGTGGTAGCAGAAGTAGATGATGGAGGTCAGTCTGAAGGATGTTCAGGGCAGGAGCGGTTGATCTCAAACCAGGAGTCTATACAGCTATTTACATCAGAAAAACACAATTTCTATTAGCATAATGCTTTTAAAGGATTCTACTAATGGTTATTAAGATTATCATAGTGTCCTAAACAGTCACAATGAATTCCAGCATTAAATCATTTTGCTGTCCTCGCTAAAAGTGCAGAAAATGACTAAATCACCGCCAACATGTTAGATGTTAATATACAGCTATGTAAAGCAGAATTCTGGACCGGATATAGAAACCATGCAAGCAAATGTCACAAATGTCTTGCCGGTTGCTGCTGCTTAGTCCAAAAATATTACGATTAAGTTAGAAGTGAAAGGATCGGTTGTCACTTTGTTGTGCCTTGCCTGGTTAGGACTGAGTATATAACTTGCTTGTGGCAAATTTGTTTGATTGTGCTTCAACATCTGAAAACATCTCAAGTGTGAGCTGCAAGAGAACATCAGCGAGCCAATCGGTTCACTTAAAAGTGTCACTTGTTTGAGACATAAATACTTTCCAATGAGTGTGCTATTCAATACCAAGAAGCCTCCTGCTGAGACACCATATACAGACATGAAATGTCAATCATATAGTTACATAATCACATAATTATATATAGGACATGACAAGGTTTGTGTTTCATGCTCAGCATAAAAAGTAGAATTTAAATTCTCAGGCAATCTGACAGCTGAGACTGTCGTTCATTTGACTGGCGAAAAGCTGTAACATTTCCTGTCAGATTGACACAGGGTTGGACACAAGGAGGTTTGTCATTATCACAAGCAATTTACCAGCACTGGTGCTGATTAAAAAGACATTAACAATATAAACTGTGCAATAAAAATGTATTGTTGCTGTCCATCTCACCTTTTGTGATAGATACAGAGGCACGGCAGTCTAGCGATGGTGTCTCCTTGCTGTAGCTCCTCAAGACATATTACACATTCTCCTGCGTCTCTTGACAACACGTCATCTATAACACACACACAGACACTCACAATGAGAACATGATGCAAACCTAAAATACTGATGTATAAACACTACTGTTCAAAACGTTTGGGGTCAGTAAGATATTTCAAAATAAATTAATACTTTTATTCAGCAAGGGTACATTAAATTGATAAAAAGTGACAGTAAAGACATTTAAACGGGTACAAAATATTTATTTTTTAAATATTTATAATATTTATTTTTCCAAATAAAAGCTGTTCTTTAGAACTTTCTATTTATCAAAGAATCCTGAAAAAAAATTATCATGGTTTTCACAAAAATGTTGACCGTTTTCAACATTGATAATAAATAAATGTTTCTTGAGCAGCAGACCAGCATATTAGAATGATTACTGGACTGGAGTAATGATGCTGAAAATTCAGCTTTACCATCACATGAATTACATTTTAAAATATTCAAATAGAAAACAATTGTTTTAAATTGAAGTAAAAAACATTACTGTTTTTACTGTCATTTTGATTAAATAAATGCAGGCTTGGTGGGCATATTTTTTCAAAAGCATCACATTAATAATTTTTTTTTTTGCCTAAGAAAACTATATGCAGGGGCATCGGACAGGGGGTAA